CCCGCAGCCCTGGCCGGGATTCCTGGGCCAAGGGGAAGCGCTGCTGTCCCTGGCCATGCTGCTGCGTCTCTACTTGGTGCCCCGCGCCGTGCTCCTGCGCAGCGGCGTCCTGCTCAACGCTTCCTACCGCAGCATCGGCGCTCTCAACCAAGTCCGCTTCCGCCACTGGTTCGTGGCCAAGCTTTACATGAACACGCACCCCGGCCGCCTGCTGCTCGGCCTCACGCTTGGCCTCTGGCTGACCACCGCCTGGGTGCTGTCCGTGGCCGAGAGGTGAGGGTGCTGGAGGCATAAATGCGCAGGGGAGGGAACCCCGGACAGCCGCGGTGGCCGTCTTGTGCCGCGGTGCAGGTTGAGGCCCCCTAGGACCAAGCAGAGGTCAAAGTTCACACTTTGACCCCTTCTCCTCTTGCTGGCTGCAGTTTGCCCACACTCGCATCAACTGGGGTGAGAGGAACCAACAGACAAGCCCCCAGCCAATCCTCCATGTGCAGCCTTCAGTCTCCCCAAATGCACACACAGACCCTAAAAAGCCCTTCCCTTCTGGCTCCTGGACTTCTACTGCCTCAGGTTTCCAGGCCATGTGTTCGGTCTCCAAACCTGTCTCTGGGACCTGCCTAAAGGGTTGCGTCTGCCTTGGAGGAAGGGGACATATTTTCCAAATTAGCACAGAATGCACTGTAGGTGGGTGCTTTCTGTGACCTTAGGAAGGGGATGATTTGGAGCTTCTCTGGAAAATAATTCCATGCAGGGAATTGGAACTAGATCCTGGTTGCCGCCTGGATACTGTGTAACCCGAAGCCGCACCTCAATTTCTATCCCTTACAGAGAAAGAGGTTGGGAGTGATCTCAGCCAGTGGTTTTCAAAGTGTGATTTCAGGACCAGCAGCATCACCTGGGAACTTGCAAATGAAAACTCTCAGGTCCCTTCTAGACCTACTGAATCCTGAAGGGTAGGGCCAGCAATCCGCTTTAGCAAGCCCTCCAGGTGATTGTATGGCCCAACCAAGGTTGAGAACCTCTGGTCTAGTGTATGTGGCAAAGATCCTTCAGGGCAGGAGGAGAATGAGAAGATCTGGCTTTAGATCTCTCCTCTCTGAGCCTCAGTTTCCTCATCTGAAAAATGAGTGTCACATTCCACCATCTGTAGTCTCCCTGACAGTTCTTTTTTTTGAGATGGAGTCTCAGTTATGCAGGCTAGAGTGCAGTGGCACGAACTCTGCTTCCTGCAACCTCTGCCTCCCTGCTTCAAGCGATTCTCGAGCCTCAGTTTCCCAAGTGGCTGGGATTATGGGTGTGCACCACCATACCTGACTAATTTTTGTATTTTTAGTAGAGACCATGTCACCATGTTGCCCAGGCTGGTTTTGAACTCCT